AATATTAAATTTTATATTTACAAATTAATATTTTTACATATTCAGTTTATTTTAATTTTATTTTTCGCTCTGCTTTATTATATTCTTGTTATGTTAGAAACTTTCTGCTTGCTTCTTTATTTCTCTCGTTTACATTGCGATTTATTTTCCTTTAAAACTGCTTTCAGGTACAATTCAGCTTGTCTTTATGTGTTTTTTCGTTTTTCGTATTGATTTCTTGTTTCGCTTAGTAAGTTACTGAGTACCTGATTTTCATAACTTAATCGAATTGATTAAGACTGCACGCTATAATTGGCACGCTTGGCTACTAAATAAAATATTTTATTTTTTTATTTATTTTTGTTTTAATTTTTGTAACTTTATCAATAATAGTTTAACTTTACGCGCCTTTAAATTATTTACAATTTACAAAACTCTTCTTTCTGTACACCCTATATTAGGTATAGGCATTAATTATGTATGTCTGTGTTAAGCTATTTACTTTTAGTTGTATTTAGGCGTGTAATTACTAACGACTCGTCGTTTACTCCTCATAGCTGCGCTTAGTTTACCAATAAAATAGCTTAATTAAATAAATATTAACATATTCATATTTGTTGTTGTTTATAAACTAATTACAATTTAACTTAAATATTTTAATTAAGCAAAACAATTTTTAACACTAATTTGCATTTACTTACATAGTTAATTCATCAAAAACAGACGAGACTCAACTGGCTCAGTCAACTATTTGTTTGTTGCTTTTCTCCTTTTGACTAAATTTTCGCTTGTGGCTGCTTGCAACTCGCACTTCTCACTGCTTATTATTCTTATGTGTGTGTATTTTACTTTTAATTTGTATCAAATGTTTTTCTTTGTACCCTTGCTGTCGCCTGCACTGTAATGCCCACATATAACTGTATTTGGAATGTGGTCAGCTGCCCAGTTCTCATTTCGCTCTGCTGCAGCGGCTTCACCTGTGGTTGTTGCTTTTGCTTTTTATGTTTTTTGAATTTTCGCTTTCGTTGTTGTCGTGTTTTGCCCATCGGTGCCGCCGAAGACCATCAATCGTTGGCCATGCAGTAGCCCGAATAGGTTTGGATGTTGTCCTCCAGGAAGCTCTCGCCGGGTATAACGCCCGATTGTGTGTGATGGCTGGGGCAACGATGGCCCTTCGGACACTGACATAGCGCATTGATGTTTACTTCGTCGAGGAACTCCTGACGCTTTCGTACCGTAAAAAGTTTGCAGGGTTGCTTGCGTTGGCAGCGAATGCGCTGGAAACAATTAAAAAATAATTCAATGAAGAAACTCGAAAAACGCAAAACTTTTGGAGTGAAACTGGAAAATGCCGTCAACATCAAAGTAAAAAAATAAAGAAACTCTCATTATTGGACACTTACTGTTATGGGTGAACATGCAAAGAGGTATGTGTAGCCACTGGCGCCATCTGTCGCCGGTTCTCTCTTCGTCAAATATGTCACCGAGTTCTTCGGGCAACGGCAATGCACTATCTGCTCGGTCACATTCTGCTCCGCCGAAGTGGTAAGCGTCCACGTATAGTCGCGAAAATGCCTGCAAGAGTGCAGAAAGAGTCAATAAGTTAGTAAAATGCTACATAACCTTCAAATTTCTGCATCAATCTACTCACTTGCAGACGGGCAATTTGTGCACCGGTTGGCACATCTTATAGTGACGCGTCTTATCGGCAATGGTGTGCCCATCCTCCACACCCAAACCACTGGGACAGCCACCAATGTAGTTGATCGGCTCCTTCGCACGATGTCCATTGTGACCCGAGTGCCGCATATGCGCCGTGCTCGGCTCAACGCTGTAGTAATTACGACGCGAAGGCATATGTGGAAACTCATTGTCGCTCAGCTCACTCAGCAACTCATCCTCTTGTGAATTCGGCAGCGCATCGTTGTCCTCGCTATGTGACGCGACTGATGCTGCCGCAAAATCATTAGGTGGCAGGTGCAAGTCCTCTTCGTAGACCGCGCCCAGACGCTGCATTAACTTCTTCAAATGCAGTTGCTCGAATTTCTTGTCATTGTATTCGCCAACCAGCAGTCGTTTATGCTGCAAGAGGCGCTCCCGCTCATAGTAACTTCGGTATTTGTCGTGCGCGGCGGCAGCAGTAGCGGCATGTGACGTCAGTCCGCCTGCATCGCCGGCGCTGTGGTGGGCGTGGTGGTGCAGCACAATGTGTGGCTGGCGATTTACTGCGGGGCAGCGGCATTGGCGCTCGATCCACGGCGTCTCGTACAAGTCGATCTTGGAGCAAACGGCGTTGGGCGCACACAGCGGCAGATCGTCTTCAGAGTCCTGTGTTGAAGAAAGTGATAAAGGGAAAGAGTACAATTAGTGCCGCTATTGAAAATCATAGATAGCTTTGAATCTTAAAATTAAATTCTTTGCCTTTTTGCAATAATCTCTTTCATAACTTATTACTCTGAGTCGTGTAGGTTATACACACGTAATTCCCCTGCATTTTCCAAAGTGGGTAACCCCACGCAAATAACTTGCTGTCATATTTTACAAATAATTTACTGCACTTATTGCTGTCACATGGTTTAAATATAGCTGCGGAATGACCGCTTTTGGCTATCTAAAACGATTTCCCATCTAAAGGCCGCGTTGACACTCGTTAAAAATCCAAATATGTACCAGCAAATACCTACATAATTTTTATTATAATTCATATAATTATATATATAGAAATGACCGCTTGCTTCGATGAAAATTAATTAAAAATCCATTTTACTTCACATAAAAATCGCTTCGCTCAAACTCATGAGCACGACCAATTCCAATTCCAATTGCATTACAACAAAAGCGAAAACAGTGGTCACGCCTACTCGATGCATAGAGGTGCATAAGCAATGCATGACACGTCGCACTAAATGAAAATGTGAATGAATGAAGGCTTTGCTATTTATAATTCAAAACGAAATCTTTACGAGCTTCTCGCTGTGACTTTCACACAAGGCAGATGTGAACGTGTTTTCACGTTCAGCAGCATCACAATTCTTTAGAAGCTTTCTTATTTTCAAATACTTTTATATATTGCATTTTTATGCGGTGAAACATGTCCAGCTATTTGTCTGAGTAGCGCACGTCTGGCGATTTCAAGTCCACTTATGCGTGATGACTCGTTCAAGGCCCCTGACATTGCCACCGTTATGCGTCAGATGTTCTGTTCTATTAAAAAAAATTGTCACAAATAAATTATTTGAAGAGCAATGTTAAGTCTGTAATTTGTTTAATGTATTTTTTGTAATATTGAAATGGAGTGTTTAAATCTTAGTTCCTTCGGTTTTAGCTTTCGAAAAATTTCTTCTGTTCGTCTGTATGTATAAAGCTCCTACACTTTTGAGTTAAGGGGGTACTACTCTAGAATTTTGAAAAATTCGATTTTTTTCATATATTTAAAGTTTAGACCCTTAAGAACATATTCTCCAAAGGATTCTTAAAAATTCTTCTTATTTTAAGAGCTACAGTTCTTTAGTGACGTAGTACCTAGCCCTTTTTTAACGCGTTTTTCTCGAAACTACTTTTTTTCACACGGTACCGGCATTATCTCAAGTTCTATACAACCGATTTACTTGAAATTTTGTGTGAACCTTTTTTATATAATCCGTTATCTTTATATAATCCTTAATCCTTTATTTTTAATATTTAAAAAAAATTCAGGAATTTCAAAAAACAAAAAAAAAACGTAGAAAATTATTTTTATTTTCGCCAGTTTTTCAAAAAAAAATTTTTTCGTGTTCCCTGAAATAGGGACTATAACAGCATCCTTCTTCTTCTTGATTGGCGTAGTCACCGCTTACGCGATTATAGCCGAGTTAACAACAGCGCGCCAGTCGTTTCTTCTTTTCGCTACGTGGCGCCAATTAGATATTCCAAGTGAAGCCAGGTCCTTCTCCACTTGGTCCTTCCAACGGAGTGGAGGTCTTCCTCTTCCTCTGCTTCCCCCGGCGGGTACTGCGTCGAATACTTTCAGAGCTGGAGCGTTTTCCTCCATCCGGACAACATGACCTAGCCAGCGCAGCCGCTGTCTTTTAATCCGCTGAACTATGTCAATGTCGTCGTATATCTCGTACAGCTCATCGTTCCATCGAATGCGATATCCGTCTCTTATACACATCTAGATGTGTATAAGAGACAGGTCCAAGCCTCTGCACCATATAGCAGGACGGGTATTATGAGTGACTTATAGAGTTTGGTTTTTGTTTGTCGAGAGAGGACTTTGCTTCTCAATTGCCTACTCAGTCCGAAGTAGCACCTGTTAGCATGCCAGCATCCTTACTGATTAAAAATTTCTTTTGATTTTTGTCACCAGGATGCGACATTTTGTTTTACACCTGCCTTCAACAAGCAAACCCCACCTAATTATTTTAATTTTTAATATTTTTTGGTAAAATTTTTTTTTTTTTTGTATTCTTAAGATCTCAATAAAAACACCATAAAAAATGGATAGTAAAAATATTTTTGGTTTTCTTTTAAATAAAATTCAAAAAACTGCCCAAAACTTGATTTCTAGAGTAGGATACCCAGTTAAGGATTTGAAAATTTTCATTTTTTTCTCGCAAAAAGCTGCTTATTTTTTAAATCTCGGATATCGAACCAATACAACATATATCCGCCATACAAACTGACCGATCAAACTGAGGTCTTTGTATGAAACCGATACAACTTTAGTCCTCGTATGAAAAACTTTTTTATTTGAGAAACTATTCTTACAAAATTTTACACAAAATATTGTCCAAAGTATTGCAACAATCTCTGAAGAAATGGTTCAGATCGAATTACTATAGCATATACCTGCCATACAAGTCTTTGTATGGAAAACTTTTTTATTTGACAAGGTATCTTCACAAAATTCGACACATATTATTTTCAGAAGCAAAACTATGATCTCCAAATAATTTGTTAAGAACAGACAACTTTAACATATTGCTGCCATACAAAGTGACCGGTTAAAATAAAGATGAAGATCTTTTATAACCTTTATGCTATAAAAACTGCAGCTGTAAAGGGCGTTAAAGCTGCGAAGTCAACGATTTTTATTTATATTTTTTATATAGTTTAATTTTATATATTTTTATTTTTATTACTTTTATTTTTTTAATTTATTATTATTTTTTAATTTACTTTAATTTTATTTTTTTGTCTTTTTGTAAGCTTTTTCTCAACTTCTTTTTCACCTAAAGCCACTTTTTGTAATTGTTTTTGCACTTCGGCAATTCCCACCAGTGGAATGTGTCTGTGCCATGAAGTAAGTAAGCAACTTCGCCGCATTTTAGAGTTTATTTATTATTTCTTTCATTCATTCGTTCAGCCATTCATTCATCCAAGCATGCATTTACTCATTCATTAACGTGTAGTTTTCCGAGGGGTTTCCGTTTGCCGTGTGCCAATGACATGGCGTAATATGTGATGCTGCTGCAACTACGTCCTCTAGTGTTGTTGTAAATGCCGCTACAACAACTGTAAGCATGTCCATATACGCGCATTTGGCTTAGCTTCAGCTGCTGTGTGTATTTACGCGAATGGAGATTGTTTGCTTACAAAGCAAACTGACAAACCAACACACACAAAGCCATAAACTTAAATGTTTACAACTGCACGCATGTGTGTAGGTGCCCATGTGTGTGTATGGGCTTGTGTATTTACACGTGCTTTTGGATGCGTTCCCCTAATGACCCATCACGCGCCTTCTCCGACGCCTTGGTATGCTCGCATGCGTATTTCTGCCTATGTGTGTGTGTGTGTATACGCGTTAGGAAAAACGTTAAGTTTATTTAGAAATGTACACACCTCCTTCACACTTCTTAGTGCAGCTCCACCTTTTTATTATTCAACTAAACTTTTACAATTGCTGCCATTCTATTCATGCTGAAGATGCTTATTTACATATCCAACGAAGAAAAAGATATAAAGTAGACTTTGTTGTTGTCGAATGTTGTTATGCTTATCTTATTTTGTTAGCTGTTAGGCCATTGTTGATGTGGCAAGCAAAGAAATGCTAATTGATGAGGAAATACGGCATTTGAATGGAATGTGCCTTACCGGAAGTGAACTTTTTTTAGTCGAGTGCCAGTTGTTTACTTAGAGGAAGTTGAACTGAAAGTTCGAAATCGCTTTTTGAACTGAACTATTTACAATTGAATTAATTGGCTTATCTAAGTGGAGCTAGTTTTAATATGATTTCGAATGGTTGTTTTTAGATTTCAATTTGCCTTTGTGAAAACAATTTGAGTTTTGTTGCTTGAGAAGGTTTACAAAAGTTCTTTGAGTTCCGCATTTTAGCTCCGAGATTTCCGTCTTGAATCGATTGAGTCAAATCGAAACTTTCTCTAATCTGCCAATAATTTTTGTTTACCAGGCCCCGTATTTCACACCCAAACTCCTCAGAATCGCCTTGCTGACGGCTCTTCCCCAAAAACGTCACATTTCACTGCTTTCTTAGCGGCACAAGCAGGTGCTTGCTTGCGTAACTTGCGCTCAACCGAGTTATACATAACTCTCGGTAGGAGCATTAAGACACCAAAACACATACATATACATACGTACATGCACACATGTCCACGCATTCATATTTTTACGTTCGCCCTGCGCGCGCAACGCAAAGTGCGCCAGGCATGCGCAGTAAATCATTTCTTTTCAAAACCTCCTTGCGCCTGCACCGTTCAGCTGTTCACCTTCTTCGGCGAACACTTGTGCCAGTTGGCCGCGAAGCGTGGGAAACTCGAATTCTTGCTCCGAATTAAATAAGTATTTCCTGACGGGCGATGATTTTTAGATTTCCGTTTGAAATTCTCAAAAGCAAAAACATATTAATGATTTCTCGGCTTTTTTCTCGTTCTTTTTTCTTCGTAAAAACATTTGCCATTGGTCTCATCTGCCCGGCGTCAAACGGTGATTACCACCGCTCGCATTGACAACTGTTGGCGCGGGTACACACCTACACACCGCATTCCACACTTGCTCCTCCTCCACCTACGTAAAAATCACATTCGTTTTCTATCTGCTTTGTTTTTTATTTATTTTCGATTTTCGATGTCTGTTTTTTTTTTTTTTGCTTCTTCTTTCTTTTGTTGCCGGTTGCCTGGCACACAGCTGTTCTGACAGTTCCTGTTGTGTTCCTCGGCAGTTTGTTTGTCTCTCTGTTGATTTTGCCTGCAGAAACATTTGCTTAATGCACATGCGCACAAGCACACATACACAGGCTTACAAGTGTCTGTCTGTGTGTATGAATGTGTGTGTGCTTGCATTGAGTTACGCTTGAACGGCAATATGTTCTTTCTTACGATGCATTG